CAATTCATAAGATGGTTTATTTCTAAATTAACCTTGACTTGTGAACCACTCGTTGCTCTCCTGAAGAAAGGAAAGAAATTCCAATGGGACGGCCGATGCCAAGTTGTTTTTGAACAGATTAAGCACTATCTATAGAACCCACCCGTGTTGTCACCGCCTGAGCCTGGGAAACCATTGATTCTGCATCTTTCAGTGATTGAAACTATAATAGGCTGCATGCTTGCACAAGAGTTTGAGAACAAAGTGGAGAGAGCTATCTACTACCTGAACAAGAAAATGCTAGAGTATGAGACCCGCTACACTCCGTTAGAGAAGGCTTGTTTAGCCTTGGTATGGGCTACCAGGAAACTACGGCACTACCTGTTAGCTCACTCTGTAATACTGGTTTCAAGATTAGATCCCATCAAATATCTTTTCGAGAAACTAGTGCTTACGGATAGGCTAGCCCATTGGTTGCTTCTTCTTTCCGAATTCGATTTGAAGTATGTGACGCGCAAGTCAGTAAAAGGGAGAGCGGTAATGGAATTCCTAGCCGATCACCCAGTTGAAGGGTATGAAATAGTTGAGTACTTATTCCCAGATGAGGCCATTCTGCATATTGAAGACGAAACTTGGACGGTGCACTTTGATAGAGCATCAAACCAATACGAGTATGGGATAGGGGTGTTGCTGATAGCACCCGACAATTTCCATATGCCTTTAGCATTCAAACTCTGATTCAAAGTATCAAACAACGAAGCAGAGTATGAGGCATGCATTGCTGGTTTGGAGGCCGCCCTAGAACTAGGGGCAAAATGGTTGGACGTCATCTGGAACTCGAACCTTGTTGTATCTCAAGCTAAAGGAGATTGGAAAGTCAAAGAAGAAAAGATGAGAATCTACCACCAGACCTTGGATTTGCTAATTCCTTGGTTTGAGAAGCTGAATTTTGCTCATCTCTTAAGAGAGAACAACAGGTTCGCATATTCACTAGCAACTCTATCTTCCATGATAGACATTCCTTTCGGAGTCCGGATGCGTCCGATCATCATTGACCAGAAATTTGTGTCGACCTACGAGCTGCTTGATGCCATAGATGAAGTACAAGATGAGAATCCTTGGTATTACGATGTCTGAAACTTCTTGGAAAAAGAGGCGTATCCACCAGGGGCAAATGCCAAAGATAAGAGCGCAATTCGAAGAATGGCTGCTCAGTTCATCGTCTGCGGGGGTAAACTGTACAAGAGAGGTCATCTCGGGATGCATAAGCTGTGTGTTGATGCTAAAGAGTCGAAACGCCTGATGGAGGCCATCCATGGAAGAGAGTGCAGAGCACACATGAACGGGGTGATGCTAGCCCGGAAGATCCTTAGACAGGGTTACTACTGGTCCACCATGGAGAAGGATTGTATTGGCTTTGTTCGACGATGCCACAAATGTTAGATCTATGCAAATCACATGAACATTCCGCCATCAAGGCTGTACAACATGACTTTGCCGTGGCCATTTTCAGTCTGGGAGATTGATGTGATTGGAGCTGTCACTCTGAAGGGGTCCAATGGACATGAGTACATTTTGGTAGCGATAGACTACTTTACAAAGTGGGTTGAGGCCCAATCTTATGCGGTGTTGAAAGCTTCGCATGTCGCTAAGTTCATCAGGAACAACATCATCTGTCGCTACGGGGTCCCGAACGAGATCATTTCAGATAACGGTTTCCACTTCAAGAAGGAAGTGATCGACTTGTTGGACAAATACAACGTGGCTTTTCATAAGTCATCTACATATCGACCGCAGACCAACGAAGCAGTTGAGGCCGCCAACAAGAACATCAAGCACGTTCTGCAGAAAATGGTGGAAATCTACCGGGATTGGCCAGATAAGTTGCCATTTGCTCTGTGAGGCTATCGGATTTCAATTCGAACTTCTACTGGGGCGACTCCGTATTCCTTGGTTTATGGGATGGAGGTTGTTCTCCCTATCGAAGTTGAGGTTCCGTCATTACATACTGGCTGAGTGTCAGATAGCTGAGGCAGATTGGCAGCTAAGCAGGTTCGAAGAACTCATGCTATTTGATGAAAGAAGGCTAAAAGCACTGTACCATGTTCAGGGTTATCAACGAAGAATCGCCAGGACTTTCAACAAGAAAGTTAAGTCCAGGAATTTGAAAAAAGGAGATTTGGTGCTCAAAGACAATCGAGCTCCCATCCACGACCCTAGGGTCAAGTTCAGACCCAATTGGACTAGTCCTTACATCATCAAGTCTATTTGGTCAGGTGGAGCTGTCGTTCTGATGGACCTAGATGGCCTAGAGTTCTCCTAACCGATCAACATGGACAAGTTGAAGAAATATTATCCTTGAGTGGCTCGCTAGGCCAAAAACCAAAAAGGTTGACCTAGGCAAAAGTTAGAGCACAGAAAATTTGAAATTACAAAAACTGAGCTCGCAAGGTTGAAAACCCGCAAAGGGCGGCCTTGGCAAAAGTTAGAGCGCAAAAGTAGAGTGCTAATACTCGAGTGAACCCGAGCCGAACTACGTAAGGCTTGATTCCCATTTTTGGGATACGTAGGCAACTTCATCCTGAAGTCCAGCCATAAACACTTCCCCGATCAACTTTGTCCATTTGATCGTCTCGGTCATCTTTGTCTATTCTGCATTCGAGAGCTCGGTTGTGATCTCCGGTGCAGTGCCATACAGACTAGGGGCAACTTTCCAGTTGTCAAAATTCGGGGTTGTGCATCTCAGTGACAGATCTCAGGCATGTCCAGTTCTGATCCATATCGAAAATGGTTTTGAAAAGTTTTAATAAAAGTTGATTTTGTTCAAATTAATCTTTTTACAACTTAGACCATTTTTGGACCAAACGGAAAATTTTCAGTACCCACAACCTTCAATTTTATTGATTTCAGTACAGAGTTCTCCTATTCTTGAATACAAATTGAAGCTGCTTTTTGGTTACATTCGTAAAGAAAACTTGAAAGTATTGATAAAGCAATAAATTCGGGGCATAGATAACTCAGGTGTTCCTACGCCCCCTCCCAGAGCTGGTCGAAGCCTCTTACGCCAAAGTGGGCCCAACCTGTGCCTCTTCATTGAGCCAATCTATGCACTCGTCAAAAAGGGTGTAACTGAAAGTAGAAGTGGGGGCTAGAAGCTCTCTAGTCCTCCATGTCGTGGCATACCGAGCAAGCTGCGTGCCTCGGACCAGAAATGTAGTAGGGTACTCTATCCCCTCCTCTGGGCAAATCTGATCATGTCCGAACTGACGCTGGAACCGAAAAGGAAAATAGAATACACAGTGTGTCATGCCAATCAGCTGGATCCCGGGCTGGCGAGTCATGCTGTAGCTCATTGCCGACAGATTGAGCCAAGGGCACTGCCAAGCAATGCGGTCTGCAGACAAACTGCATATCCATTCAAACCACCATCCCACATCAAGGGCATCGACCAGACGTCGTCGGAAGAAATAGCCGTGAGCTGAGTATGCTGGGTATGAGTCCACAACCTGCAATTTGTCCATCATCCACACCTGGGGAGGGATGAAAAATGAGAGATTAAAGAATATAGAGGTGTACGACGAGAGAAAAATAAGAAAAAGGGTTTTGAGAGAAAAACTGAGCCTGAGGGCCGAGTGATGTGAGCAATATATGAGAGATGGGGTGGGAAACATTACCTGCAACAGTAGTGGACTCCCCGCGAATCTAGTCGTCTCTTGGCAGCAGAAAGCGTCCAATCCCATCAATGTCTCAGCTAATGTCATGGCGATGCAGCTCTTGCCCTCTCTTAAGCCCTGGGCAACTTCGATCAAATGAATGCTAAACTCACCGGAGCCTGGGGCAAGCAAAAAATGAGATAACATGTACAAGCAAAGCACATGTTGCCGATAACCCTGCCAATCATGGTCATCGCGGTCACCGACATCAGAAAACTGACGAATCAAGCTGGGGATATCCAGCACTCGATCGCGAGTCAATGACCGAACGCCATGCAAAGTGAGCCCACACATCCATCATAAGGCTTGAACGTGGCCAAAGCAGAATTGTGGCAAAATTTCTTCATTACGTTCGGATTCCATCAAAACTTGGAAGTCTTCGAAAGTAGGACATATCTCTTGCCCGCCAAAGCAAAAGACATGTGTTACCGGATTCCAAAACCTTGCCGCGGTATAAAGGAAAGGAAAACGCAGCGGAGTGCGACTTAACGTGAATAGTGCATTTATGCCAAAGCCTCGGAAATTCAACTTTTCCGAGCCGTCCAAGGAAGCAATCCAATTTGTGAGATTTTGAACAAGAAACACCTCCATTTTGGTGCAAAACTGAGTTAGAATGAGGGAACCACGAAGCTGGAACCTTTATGGAGGATAAGGCATTATTTGGAGGACAAATGTCACAAAACTGGAGGTTCCCAGGATAAGTGGGCGCCCGACCACTTTTTCAGGTCGGCCAGCTACTTTTTTTGGGGTCTAGACAGAAAAACTGGTCGTAGGCTCTAAAAGTGGTCGGCCATGTGCAAAAAACTGGTTTCCAGCTGTTTCTTGTCTCTAGAAGGGAGTCTTTAGCTTTCCTATGTGCTGAGAGTACTGAAGGTCCAAGTTTACCTCTGTTTCGGATGCATTTTGTCGATTGGTTTGTCTCAAAATGCATTCACTCTTCGAGTTGTTAAGTTTTGCTTATCGACTTATTAAGTTTTCCTTATCGAGTTGTTAAGTTTTGCTTATTGAGTTGTGAAGTTTTCCTTATCGAGTTGTTAAGTTTTGCTTATCGAGTTGTTAAGTTTTACTTATCGAGTTGTTGCTCTTTGTTTATCGAGTTGTTGCTCGTTGCTTATCGAGTTGTAAACTTGCTAAGGTTTTGTTTCTTAGTGATTTAAAGTGTTTAGTTTGTTGCGTCGGTTCACTACCTGACTTGGTAATACATAGGGTCTAATCTCCATTCAAATTCATTTTTGTGCAAAATGGTGCAATGCGATGCGATGCTAAGAATATAGGTATGACACTTTTTTTGAAACAAAAAGTCGTTTTCATTTCATCATGGCTTCTTTTTACAACATTTTACAAAAAGGTACAAGTTTTGAAGAAAATAAAGCTGCCTAAGCTGTACAATGTGCTACAACTACATGTAAAAAGAAACATAAAGCAGGATCATCTGCATCAGTGCTAACAAGCTCAAGACCGAGAGGCCCTCTTCCTCCTCTTCGGCTGAGCAGCCTTCACGCCACCGCCACCGCCCCCGTCTGAATCGGAGTCACCACCCTCGAAAACCTCCTCGGTGTCACCTCCATCCTCAGAACCCGAACCGGAGTCATCATCCCTACTTGCAGACGTTTCTGACTGCGGATGTGCTAGCTCCTCCTCGCTAGACTCCTCCTCATATCTGGCGGGTGCTCTGTACCCACCTCGACCGCAAGTCGATGCTCCTCTCCTAGCTACTCAAGAAGGCCGGGATGGCCCGGGCGGTACAGGTGCGACCTGAAAAGACAGTTTAGGGTACATCAGCCAAAATATGTATATTAGATGCAAGAATGATGTATAGAATGAGTGCATGCAGATATAGTATGTGAATGTGGTGTGACAGATGTGTTCTACACATGCAGTGAACCAGTATGGTGAAATGTTCAGTTTTGCATGTCATCAGAAGTATGATAAATGCAAAAAGACTGGAAAATACTGGGATACTGGAGGAGTGCAGCAGTGTCTCTCTTCGTAAGACCATGCTCTCGAGCGAGGCCACCACTTCGAGCAACCCATCAGTGTACTCTCTGGGAGGCTACAGACGCAAGTTCAAGTCATCAGTGAATGAATGAATGTCTAAATATCTGAATGATAAATGAAAACTGTGAAGCATACCGGTGGTGAGTCAGGGTCACTGACGTATCGGTGATCCGGTCGCGGAGGCTCTAGCGAGATCTAGTATGGTGTCCCATACTCCCAACCTATCAGCCCGGTCGGAAGATCTGGCCATCCAGCATGTTGGCAAGTAGAGGGTATCCATCCAGCCCCACCCCTCGATGTGCCAGCTCCGCTGGTTGAAGGAATGTCTCTAGCTTAGGCGTGACTCGAGGAAGGCACGTCAGCAGCCCTCCTCCTGGAGGCACGGACATCTAACAGTGAAGGCATCAAGTACGTATGGCGATATTTCGCATAATCCCCCTCCTTCAAGAAAAGCACCACGTTAATACCCAACATGAGGTCCTCCGTCTTCCGGGGTGCGAGATCCCCTGCAGACCGCATCTCTAGTGGAGGCGATGAGGGGACGTCCTGATCAAAGTTTCCCATCGTCTGGCGCATGAAGCGCTCTCCAAGAAATCATCCTCTGCCAACCGGTCCCTCAAGAAGAACCCTGTACCGCGAAGTGCCCCATGCCCCAACGAACAAAAACCGAGGATTCCCTGGCATGGCTATCTAAGGCTGCCAGTTAACCTGCGGGTAATAAGTGCATGAATTAATTAGAAGTCATGAATGTGCAAGATGAAGCAAAATTGAAAAGATGAAGAACTGAGAGTTCTGGATTACCTTTGTCGTCCGTACAGTATCGAAGAACTGCCGGAGGAAGGGCAAAGTCTGCCGGGGCCCTGGTCGGCACCGACCCTCAAATCTGCATGAGTAGGGGATTGTAGACGCACCCTCGGGGGGCTTTGCTACTACAGTTCAGACTCAAATGTCACGATTCTGAATCTAATCCTGCAAAGTGCAATGCGTGACCGATAAATCACCAAAGAGTCCAAATCCGGCAAATCGTTTTGGAAAACTTATTTTTAAGAAAGAAGTGCCAAACATGGACTGCTTTGCCAGATACAGAGTAGCCACCTAAATATTTTATTTTTGGGAAATTTAGGAAACCCTGACTCGTTGCCTAAGGCCACAGACGTCATCACCAAAGTTGCCTCAGCTCGGGAACTTGGGTACGATTGGGGAAGGTCATCTATGAGCACCCCCGCTTGCCCGATCCGAAGATCGGTCTGTACTAAGCGTGATATCTTGTTTTTGAAAATACACGCGTTCTTATTCCGGTTAATTAGCTAGAATTACTATGTGATGCGCACAATACACAAGTATAGACTTGATCGCCTAATTTGGAACAAAGCATTGCATATCCGTTTGTTTGGAAACGGTTTGAAGTTTGCTACTCACAAGTAGGCTAAAACACGGATTTTAATGAATTGTCCCAATTCAAGTAATCCAACCTTCACCCACAGGCATTCAAACAGTTATATCACATAAGCAATTAGCCTC